TAGCACACAGCTTTATGCATGATAACACTACACAGATACATTTATATACAATTATTCTAACACTAACCATTACAGAAGTAGCATGTGAGGACCGACAAAATGTTTGCAACAACTGGTCCTCAATTTGATGGTGAAATTGGAAAAATGGTCCTCACTCTAAGGGCTAGACAGGTACATATACACACACACACACACACACACACACACACACACGCACGCACACACACACTGCCATGCTCTTGATTTAGTCATAACAGAGTCCGCCCCATCACCCAAATGAAAGCATATGACTTGGGCGTTTCTGACCATGAGGTTATCTCCCTGGATCTGCACCTAGCAGGTCCCTACTATATAATAAGTGTAACTCTCACACAATAAATGCCCAAAACTTGAAGCCTATATGGCAGCAGTATTATCTATAGCTATTGCTGGTCGTAGAACAAACTGGATCATCTGTTGATGGAGGACTCCAATTACCTGCAGAGAAAGATCATACATTTAACAAATTAACTTAAAGATTTCCCTAATGATATTTGCCAAAAAAGGCTAAGAAGTAAGTTTTTAAGACGAATCTCTAAATGTGAAAAAGAAACATTTTCATAGCAGAGATCAAAGATTATACCACTGACAGTGTAAGCAAAGGAAATGATTACCTGACCTTCATCTTGCTCTGTAATTCTGTGGTTTCACATTAGCGTAATCAGTATTTTCCTCTGAATGATGAGGCCTCTCTATAAACATTGTACAATGAATACATGGAAAACATAAATTAATGTTTAAAATATCTTCAGAAAATGAATTGACTACCTACAATTTTTAATTGTTTACATTTGTTATTAAATAAAAGCTTGGGATTTATCAGTATTTAAAATATTTCAAAATTTAATCTCAACTATTTATAATCCATCTTCTTAATCAACAACATCTCTATATTAAAATATGTACTTTACCTCCTCCAGTGGCTCTGTGGGTTCGGATCGTCTCATAGACTGAAGAGGTCGCTAGAAAATAAAAAAAATATATTTCCATTAAAGAAGCTCATGGTTATGATATAAATGTATTTTTATGTTCCTCAGCATAAGCAGATTATTGCTTAATCAATTCTGACAAAATGATGAAATTCAGCAAAAAAATATTCAGGTATCCGTTTCACGAAGCAGGTTTAACAAACTCGGATTCAAATCTACAACTCTAAATTGATCTAGCCTAAAGTCGGCAACTCTGAGTTTTTTATGTCACAATCACTCAAGAGTCCAGAGTTTAGCACGTGTGCAACAAGTAGGAAAAGCCCTTATGAGTGGAGCACAGATTCAACGAGTCACCATGACAACAGGCAACAGCAAGTGCCTATTTCACCCCA